TCAAGCTTTCAACGCAGGAATTAGTTACAATCATCGATGATCCTGAAGCCGGAACCTACCCTCTAATGAACTCCTGTGGTTAAGGAGATGATCAACAAAACTGGGTAGACAACTAGACAGACACAGAGAGAACAAAACCACCAGAGCTCTTTTTGTCTCAAGTGTTGCAAAGAAATGAAGTTAAAATTAAGAAACAAGAATTGAGAATTGCTCTTCTTTTCAGAGTTTCTACAAGAATACTAAGGCAACGATTAGTAGAAGGGAAAGCAATGTTAAGTCAGCGAAAGAAGAAGCGTGAAGGTGATAATACTGTGGGATGCATCCAGATGTTGTGGAGTTTGCCGAAGGGGCCAATGCGTTGGTGTTGTTTCCAAGTGTCTGATTGCTTTTCGCACTGCAAAATGTAGAGAAACCGATACAAAAGAGGTGAGCTTGATTCGTTCGGGTTTAAAAAGTGAATCTTTTGAAAGAAGAAGAAAGCTACCTTCCAGGGAACACGCACGTTCCTCGACCTGCAGAGACCGAAACAGAAGAACACAAACCCATTTTGAGAAACAGAGCATACGGTATCTACTTGCAAAGAGGCAAACAATAATGTTGAGAGATTGTATTCACATACTTGGATCAGTGGTGGTGACTGTTGCAACTCCTTTAAAATCACAGCTTCCTAAAGCTTTCCTCATCTTCTGGTAATAAGCATTAAACGCATAACTAGAATGCGCAACCACATCATCGGGCTCATAACACGCCTCTCCCTGCATCAGCGCTGAGCAGTCGACTTTCCCTGGACCGCAAGCCCAATCCAGTGCTGCCTGAAGCATCTTTTTATCAGCCTTTTCCTTTGCTATACAAAATGTCTGGTTCGTAGTATCATTAGCAAGAATTGCACCTGCACCCGCCAAACGCAAAGTGTAAACCGGAGTCCCATTTGTATAAAACAGCCCCCAGTTCTTCTCAGACACAGGTCCCGGCCTCGTATCCTCGTTGTAAAGCTCGTAGATGTATGTAGTAACCGCAGTTCCCGGGTGTTTCGGTGTTCCAGTCTTGTTAATCACGTGCTGGATCAAATTACTATTGTAAGTGTTTGCGTTCTCTAGCGTTGCGTCGTGTTCTGAAGCGCCTCCCTTAGATGGCCATCCGGATTCCGTGACCACGATTGGAATGTTGGTGAAATTGAGATAAGACATTGCGAAATAGGCCGCGTCTACAATCGCATCAAAGACATTTGTGTAATGTAACAATGTGTTGGCATCCACAGCCTCTTTGTTGGCTTGGAGTGGCTGAAAAAGCGCGTAATCGAGCGGTATAACTCCATTGGACTGAACGTAGTCGAAATACGGGTAAACGTTGAGCATAAACGGCGATCCAGTGGACTGCAGGAACTTGAGGAGAGGTACAATGACTGGATCCCAAGTCTTGTTAAAGAAAGCTTGTGAAGGAGGGAACGAATCAAGAATTATGGTTGAAGAATGCGGCGTCGATACTTTGATCTGACGGTCGAGATTAGCCGTGACAAGAGCTGATTGAATGTATTTGAGAGCCGAGACAAGGACTGAAGCTGCGTTTGGTAATGTGGTTAGGACTTCAGTTCCGACCGCTATTGTTGTAATGTTGGTCGCAGGGTAATAAGCAGCTACGTTTCTAGTGACCCAATTAGCTGCGGTTGCGTTTGATTGGCTGATACCGAGAAGCTGATCATTTGGTACTGAGATTATAACTTGAACGCCGGTATGAGCAAATGCTAGTAGCATTGAGCGGTCTGCGTCGTAGAGTCGGACACGGTTTATGTTCTGTGATTTGAGAAGTGTTACAACTTGTGTTGGACTTGGCATGTTTGTGACTTCCGTACCAATATTCACACCGATTAAAGAATCTGAAACATATAAAAAAACGAAACATATAATGTACAATTCGCATGAAAATCAGTCACTTGGTCGGTCCAATTCTCAGTTTTAGCATTTAATATCAGATGCTAATGCAAAGAGTAAATAAAGTTTCTTAATTATGTGGAAACACAAAAGAGAAGCCACTGGCTGTGCAGAAAAAGTCGAAAATACCCTTGGAAGAAAGGGTATGGTGGATTCAACTAGCTATGAGGTTAGTTTGGTCAAGTTTCAGATTGAAGAGAGTACTGGAAGCATATGAGCTGGGATGCAATACCTTGAGATTCTCATTCTCGTTAAAAAGATTGAAGATGGGCAAAATTAATAAGAAAAAAAATTAGGATTTTTCAAATAAAGTCTTCATCTTTATTAGTGAAAAGTAAGAACAATATAAGAAATTTTCTTCCTTTTTTTGTTTGAATCTATGGCTTTGGAGTTAACTAAGATTTACAATATGAATGAAGAAAGCAAAGAAACAACACATTTTTATAAACAGACATTGTGTAACAGAGAGATCCCTCCAGAGAAAG